GTTTACATTTAATAAAGTTTTCCTTTAACTAAGATACATGATGATGAAATGACTTCCTAACATTGCACATGTTACAGAAAATTTATAAAAAAGTTTTTTATAATTAAACAAATTTTTTAAGAAAATAATTGAAATATTAAGAAATGAATAAAATATTATATAAAATATTAATTTCAATTTTTTGCTAAGTTTTTTAAGTAATAAAAAGATTTTTTTTTTTTTAAAAAGAAATTTGAAATCTTTTTATTTTATTATAGTTATACAAGTTTTTGAAAAGATTTTTTTTATTTTAATAAGCAAATTCTTTTAAAATATTGATTTAGAAAATATAATAAGTAGATTTGTATATTAATAGAAAAATAAATTTTTAAATACCTTTAAAAAAACTTTATACTAGGAATAGAGATAAATTTTTTAAGAAAAAAATTGTTAATTTAAATAAAAACCTTTTAAATAAGTTTTAGATAGAGGGTTTTTTTTTTCTTTTTCAGTTTATTAATTCAAAGATTAGAATAATTAATAGTAATAAACTGTTAACAGTAATTCTAATAGATAAAGATTGTAATATCAATTTATTAAAAAAGTTATTTAAATCTGATTTGGAATATCTAGCCAAAACTTTATTTTGTTAATCGGGAACTGGCTTAATAAATCCCTCATATTTTTAAAAATAGTGTAGTAATTAATTAATTAATAATATGCAATAATAAGTTAGCCATTATGTAATAGTCAAATATTGTAGATTAATTTTTTTTTTTTTTTATATAGTTTTTGTTATACGTATATATTGCAAATACAAAAATAATAAAACGTCAAGATTCTGAAGATTCTTAAAATGATATTATAATTGTCTTTTATTTTAAGTATTTATTAAGTCTGCATTTTACTATTGTTTATTGTTTTTTTTTTAAAAAAATAAAAGTTCGCAAGCTCTTGCAGCCAGGCTCACAAAATTATCACTACCCGAAGAGAAGCGTGAGATGGATTTGACACAAAAGCAAGTTTCACTTTATTAACACAAAATCTAACTGCAGATTTGATTACATGTCTAATCAATGCGTATACTAGCTAATCTTAAGCTATCATTTTTTTTTACTTTCGAGTTGGCATTTATTTTTGCTAAAATGTCGTATTATCCCATGCTTTTGATAATATGTATATTATCCCATACTTACCATACTTACATGAGACTTAGATATAAATTAAGTGTCATAATGGTCGCGCAAAACTGACCCGGGTTTTCGTGAGATCATCACATGCGACTCGGTTTTATAAGAAAAAGGAACATGAATGCAATATCATAAATATTATTTATTATATAGATAATTAATATTCCTAGTAATAACATATTGTATGCGGTCTTATTGGATTTTTTAAATAAAAAAAAAAAAAAAAAAAAGAATGGCACCAACATTATACATAATGGTAAGTAATTAACAAAAGAAAACGAATATGTGTATGTAAAATTTGAAACTTATAGTAAAATAAAAGAGGGAAGGATTAGTGAGAAGAAATATGATTAAGAGTAAACATACACGAAGATATAGGCATATTTGCAAATGATATCTAAATGAATGAATGGAAACGAAAAGTAGCATAATTAATATACATTTTTTAAACGAACGCAGGTTATTATACAAAAGTAGGAAAAAATTACGAAAGCTATTATATGAAGGAAATTTATTATACATGAATAAATACAATAATGTACAAAACAAATGGTAAAGTCTCAAGGTTCGAAAAGAATATCATTCTTCATCGGCATCGTTCTTATCACTGTTAGAGGTAAAATCAAACTTTTTTGGAGATAAGGGCGGCGAGATTTGATAATTAATAGTAAATCCACCGCCATGCTCTCCATTGTGTCTTATACGATCGGGATCAAGATCTTTATAATTGAAATTTTGGTTAATTTTATTAGACAAATTCGGAAACTAGATGTTCTCAGAAGATTAATTAATATTCAAGAAATATACCTAAGTAACAAAAATCGCATAGACGAAATCCGTTTACGGTGCTAAACCGTCGATTAAATATGTTCTGCGACGTGTCTGATGAAAGCGACAACACAAATTCCTCTGGGAGTGCTGTGAAATCTATTGGCTTCTTGGTCAAACAATCGGTGCACACTAGAAAACGTCATGTTTTAGCCAAAAATTACGTGATTCTAACGATCGATAATAAATTAAAAGCGTCATGTTACCAATTTTTTTGCACCTAACGCATTCGTTCTATGAATGATCGGAAAATAAGACGTCATTAAGATGCAACATGAAATATGCTGAAGTAAAATAAATAGTAGTAAATAGATACTTACGCGCCATCTGAAGACGTTAAAATCTATTAAGCATAATTCACAACGTCTTGCTACGATTGCCTCGTGAATAGGTCTAAACTATCGATTGAACAAGTTCAAAAAATAGTGATAAAAGAAACGAAAGAAATTATTAAATTGACTTAAACTTACTTGTGGCAATACCGAGTTCGACATATTACTTCCACCACCTTTGCCCTCCGAAATATCTCTGGTATGACCGCCTGCAAAAACATCAACGGTTACACTACAATTCTATAATCTTACAAGAGTAAATGAACTTGCATCTACCGTTTTGATTCCAGACATGAATTCCGGGGGCCAGGTCTTCGTCTCGAAGAGCATCAGGAAACATGGTAAAGAAACAAGGATCGCATGCACGAGCCATTTGATCATCCTTCTCGTTGGAGCCCGGTATTATAAAATTCTATATTTGAATGCGATGTCAGAAGTAAACCCACTAATTCAAGCAAAATATTCTCGCTAAAAATTTTTTTAACCATCATAATATTAAGGGTTGATATTTACCCGTGTAGAACAAGCATGACAAACCACCTTACCACACGCTCGACAGTGATGTTTTCTTCGAAATATGGTAAACTCTTCAGAGCAATTCATACATCTATCAGCTTTGGAATCAGGAATCCAAACAGGTGCATGGTAACTTTCAACAATTCTTTTCTTATATGAATCCTTTCTTTCCGAAAATACCTCGTTGTCTAATATTCAATATTTCAATATTTAAGTTGAGCTTTAATTCAGGGGTAGAAAAAAAAAAAAAAAAAAAAATTCAGGGCGCGATATTGTTGATCATCATCTCACCAATTTTCAATGTTCTCTTAGCACTTAAATATTCATCTTTGGTCTCACGAATAACGTTGATCCATGACTCCTTATCCTTGGAAGTGTCTGGAAGAACAGCAAAAAATTTTTTAACAATTTATTAATACCCCTTTTACATTACCTGCAAGGCACAAAGTACACACCTGCGTAAACTGTGAAACTCTTCTGAGAGCTAAGAATTTGAAACGCGTTTTTTTCATTTTCATTGTCATTGTCTTCCACACCCAGCACCATGACATCCTCCAAATCAATTTTTCGATGAAACATGTACATATTTTCCATCAAAGAGGGACTATTTGAGAAGTAAGCATGTGGTAAATCGACGTGTAAAATTTCCCTATATAAAATAGGATGACTTACCTTGCATATATCAATACGTCCGAAAATAAAAAGAATTCACGCTGTTTGAGGTTTCTGCGACATATCTGCATTGTTATGTTGCTAAAATTAATATCAACCAAGATAAAAGTTCGTCTTACCGAAAAGATTCACGCGTTTACCTTCTTGACGGTCCCTCTTTTAATGAATCGTCTCCCAGGAATCAGTAATACTTCATCGAATCCTGCTAGCGATTTCTGAATCTCAAGCATCGTGATAAACATCTCATGCTGACGAATAGTTTCATTGACAAATGTGGCAACATTTTCAATCACTTGATATGCTTTTTTCAAATTAAGGTAATCAGGATGGGTTTCCGTCGTTTTCCTTAACAAATTCTCTAGCAACATTTTATACTTCGGAATTCTCTGCACTGGCATAATCAAGTAGGCCTGTAAAGTCAGCCCTTTGCATTGACCAGTCTTAATTACGTTCTACAAATTTTGAATTGTTAAATAAAGTGCTAAAAATTTTTTATGACTGTAATTATCTAAATCATAAAACTACATAAATACCCTGAAAAATTCAGAAAATTGTGGGTTTTCTCTAAGTTGATCGTCGATGACAGCCAGAGCAGAATTGAAATTTTTAACATAAATCGAGTACATTTTGAAGAATGGAGCCTGTGCGATTTCAAGAGGTTATTATAAAACTTTAGCGATAATCTTGGCGAAGAAAAAAAACCAAGATATGGAATTCTAAAATACCATGTCCAAAAAAATGTCTCCTATGCTTCCATTCTCTGGATCCCAAAAGTCGAACTCAACATCGTCCTCGTCATCATCGCCGATAGGACCAGCGATTCTTTCCTCTAACCTTCTCAAAAGCTCGGTATTAATGCTGATTAAATCAGGCATATTCGCGAAGATCTTGCTGATGGATTTTTTGCTCAGTATCGGATTTCCTGTTGATAATGATTCGGTGAGGGGATCGAAAAACAACTAAAAATACATGATAAAAAATTAATCGCAAGTATTTAAGGATAATAAAATCCACGTGAAGGATTGAATAAGAATATCTACTCTTTGCACAAGCAATAAACACTCCACGTAATGACGCTCGGTGTTTATAATTTCCAAAGCTATGTTCAATCGCTTCTGCATTCTAGTGTTTAAACTCATGCGAAGCGATGCCTTGGATACTCGGGCATTAAATATGTCGTTATGTGAAGGAACTGGTAGTGAGGGTGCATTTTTTCGATTGGAGCTTCGACTTCGGGACAAAGCTATCTCCAATTCTTTGGCTTCAACTTTTCTATTCGCGTCTTCCATAACCGTGGTTGGCAAGTCATGAGGCACTCCGGATATAGAAACTTTGGTAGAATTAGGTTCCGAGTTATGATGATCGGATAGGCTGGGCATTGATGAACGTCGCGTCGTTTCGCCATCATAATGAGAGTCGTTGGAACTAACGTTATCGGATTCACTTGGGATCGAGTGTCGATGCTGGATTAAATGACTATATGATGGAGAGGTGCTAATTATTGACGTAGTATCTGACATACTATCTTGGTTGTTAGTACCAATGGAAACTGATGTGAACGAGGATGCCACAGAATGCCAAGAATCTGTGGATGAAGACACGGTTGAAATTGGTCGAACTGATGACAGAGATTGAGAAGACAGTAAATCCACATAATTTTCTGAATCGTTGACTTCATTGATAGTTGTAGGTGAACCAATAAATCCTCCATTAAATGTTTTCCTCGATGATCCCTTCTGTATGATAATTGACAATCGTGACTTTGCGGTAGGCATGTTCTTTTCAAGAACAGCCGTTGGTTGAATGTTCATACTTTCTGCCTCCGGTATTGAGGGGGGAATGGTGGAAACCCAAGAATCCCGCACATTATACATCGTCGTTCTACGAAAGGGAGTTGAAGAAAAATGATGATTTTGCGATTCAACTGAAATATTACTGTGCACCGTCGATGCCGTCTTAGATTTATCGTTCATATTTGCCACTCGTTTTCGATTAATGCTACTTAATGCTATTTTAGTTCTGAAAATGTGAAAATGTTGGAACGTATATTATTTTCATTACTTAAATGGAAAAATTTATAAGGGGGGCAATCGACAGCTGAAAGATCAGTTGTCCTACGGAACAAAAAAAAGGGGGTGATGATTATCAGTTGGTTTATAAATCAAACTATACGTAATACTATGCACGTACTAGCATTAACACACGCAATGATTACTTAATTGCGATTTGATATTTTTAGTCCGCTAATAAATAATTCATATAGGGTCCATTTTTATTTTTATTTCCATGAATTTTCGAATGGGAATAAGAACTCCGCATGTTATCTATGTATTCCGCAACTTTATGAGACGTGTGTATGTGTGTATGTGTGAACGCGTATCGAGTCATGTGATTCTTGAAATATTGAGCCGAAGTTTTCACGCAGGATACTACGGGGCAAGAGAAATAAAAGATGGCGTTATTTTTTTTTCGTACTTTGACGTATTTTATTTTATTTTGTCGCATTGTCTTCTTTATTTAGATTTGATAAACTTCTATTAACGTATTGGTTCTTTTTTTTAAAGACGTTTTTCAAATTTAAATTTTCCTTGATTGTTGGTCATCTTACACTTTGTCACTTTGTAATATTCGAATGTTATTTTCGTTTAAAAAAAGAAAATAATAACCATAATAGTTTCAAAGCAAATTTTTATTACATATTGATTAATTACAGTTGACCTAATTTCGGCCTTAAAATATCTCACATATTATATTATTTAAATAGTTGATTTGAAAAAACTTTATTTGCTTATAAAAGATTTATATTACTATAAAATAAATCGATAAATAAATAAAATAATCATTCTGATCATTTATTTTAAGAAAGTTTTTATTAAATATAAATAGTAGGTAAAAATTTTATTTGAATTTCAGGTAATTTAAATCCTTTGAAAAATAAACATTTACCAAAAATATTATTATTTTACTGTATTAAGAAATTTATTAAAAAAACAATTGTTCCTATACAATTGACTCGGTTATATTTTATTTTATTTTTTATTTTGTTTTGTTTTTTAATTCTTTATCAAATTAGTTATAAGCACAATTACTTGATAAACTTTTTGTATATTGTGTATTCTAAATATCATTAAAGCTAATTCTTTAATCAACTCTTTAATTTAAAACTTTAAATATATCTTTAAAAATAATTTGTTGTTTTATTAATAGTTTAAGCAAATACATTTTCAATTATTAATATTATTACTTGCAAGTTACTATTATAAATTGTCATCAAATTTTTTATTAGAATAAAATCTTTGATTATTTTGTTACATGCTTAATCCTATTTATTAAAATTTTTTATAAATTTTTTATTTTTTTTCTTTT